TGACGTGCTGTTGTCGGACGTGCCGAGCATCTCCATGGAATGCGCCATCCCTGCAGCTTTGCACCCCCCACCGTGTACCTGTGTTCAGCGGCTTTTGGCTGCGCCCCCCCCTGCAGGAGGCCGTGGAGGAACAACTATGGACCGTTGGACAAGAGGTACAGTGCAGAAGTGTGGACTCAGCGACTGCAGTGTGAATGATGGCGTGTCCCGCGGGTTCTCCTGTGGCTTGCATCCTGGCGCCGGGCTCCCTGGGGGCCGCCGCTGGTCCCGGGTCCGCCCTCTGTGGCTCTGGTACTCTTGCATCCCGTTTCTGTCGGTCAGCGGTGACGGCGGCGCCGCCCTCTCCAGCGTGGTCCGCTTGGGCCGGCGCACTGCCGGGATGTCCCTGCAGCTTCCACCCCGCCGTGTACCTGTGTTCAGCGGCTTTTGGCTGCGCCCCCACCCTGCAGGAGGCCGCGGGGAACAACAATGGACCGCTTGACATGAGGTGCTGTGCTGAAGTGTGGACTCAGCGGATGCAGTGGGGACGGACCGCGTGTCCCGCGGGCTCTCCTGTGGCTTGCATCCTGGCGCCGGGCTCCCTGGGGGCCGCCGCTTGGTCCTGGGTCCGCCCTCTGTGGCTCCGGTACTCTTGCGTCCCGTTTCTGTCGGTCAGCGGTGGCGGTGGCACCACCCTCTTCAGCGTGGTCCACATGTGCCGGCGCACTGCCGGGATGTCCCTGCGGCCATCTCCCCACACCGTGTACCTGTGTTCTGCGGCTTTTGGCTGCGCCCCCCCCCCCCCCCCTGCAGGAGGCCGAGGAGGAACAGCAATGGGCCGTTGGACAGTAGGTACTGTGAAGGGTGCCCTGTGTGAGGCACGGAGGCCCAGCTGCAGGTTCCACCCGGCCCCCAGAGGCTGAGATCGAGGCTTCCGTAGGGAACCTAGAGGCTTCCGTGGACGAGGTATCTTCAGAGAATCAACACGGGCCCATGGAATTGGACGGCGTTGGCCACCCACCAAGGGGGCCGGCCGCCAGACCCCCCCCTGCAGCGTCGGGCGCCTCGCCTCAGCTACCGCCAGGCGTCGTTGGACGAGCGGGCTCCGAGCAGACAGCCCCGCTCCTGAGAGCCGTCCTCCCTTCCTCCTCCTTCTCTCCTCCTCCTCCTCCTCCTCCTCCTCCTCCTCCTCATTCATTCGCAATGTCTCTGCGGCTTTTGGCTGCGCCCCCCCCCCTCTGCGAAGATTGCCGCGGCCGCAGATGTGCGCTCGCCCTGAGACCGGCCCAGGGAGCTTCGGTCACTCGTTGCCGATTCAGCTTTTGTTCTGCTACAAGGGCGCCACGCCCGTGGTCAGGAAGTTCCGTGCATAGAGGTCCAGGGTATCATTATCTGTGTCCAGCGGCTTTTGGCTGCGCCCCCCCCTCTCTCACTCACAAGTCTCTGCGGCTTTTGGCTGCGCCCCCCCGAATTAACAGCGTAATTGGCTGCGTCAGTGAGCGGCCCGCATCGAGCGGTACAGCCTTCCGTGGTCCATGTTCGTTTCGCTCTTCTCGGCGCTGCCGCAGCCCCAGCCCTCGCCGGGACATTGCATCGTTGTGCTCCCGAACCGCGTGAGTCGGATGCGATGCATGTGGGCCGGCTTCCAGCTGTGGTTGTCAGCCGCGTGCGAGCACCCCAGTGGTCTCTTATGGGACGGTGCCCCAGCACCCCTCATTGACACCAGTGCTCAGCGGCTTTTGGCTGCGCCCCCCTCCTGCCTGTGGCCCGCCCTGGTCCGTTGCCGACCCGGCCATGGTTCTGTCTTGGCCCGCTGTCTGCGCGCCGCCTGCGAGCGGTGCGGCCCAGCAGCCCGGTAGCCGCCAGCCATCGTCACGCCACCGGCGTCGGGGTATTGGCTTCCGCACGGGCAGCGTGGCAGGTGTGGTTGGGTGCAGCCGTCAGCCGCGCACTCGGTGACACCGGGTGTCTGGCTTCGTTAAGTGAGCGGCCTTGCATTGAGTGGTTCAGCCTTCTGCAGATCGTGGTCGCTCTCTTCAGAGCAGCCCCGGCTACCAGCCCTCGTCAGTACTTCGCATCGTTATGCCCCCGACTGCGTGAGTCGGATACGATGTGCACGCACTGGCTTCGGCTGGAGGTGGTTCAGCCTCGTGAGCGCACACCAGTGGTCTTTCTCTACTGGAGGGCGCTTTGACGTGGATCAGCCACACCTTTGCAAGTGCGCGGCCCTGCATTGAGTGGTTCAGCCTTCTGGAGTTCGTGGTCGTACTCTTCAGAGCACCCCCAGCTACCAGCCCCTGTCAGTACCTTGCATCGTTGTGCCCCCGAGCGTCGTGAGTCGGAAACGATGTGCTCGTATTGGCTGCCGGCTGGACGTGGCTCAGCCTCGTGAGCGCACACCAGTGGTCTTTCTCTACTGGATGGCGCTCTGACGCGTTCAGCGACACCGAGGTCCAGTGAGCCTTGATGAGTCAGGCCTTGCCGCACCATCGTTCATCCGGGGTGCTGCAGTGAGTCTGAGTTAGTCGCTCGCGCTCGACCTCTCCCCCCTCTCTTGCCCCTTCCTTTGTGGTTCGGCTGGAGCTTGGCGCCGAAAGGGCGACTTCTCCCCGCCGTTCCGCCGCCGGTCGCCGCGCCTTGGCGTTCCCACCCGCTGGGATGTCTGTGCCGGTCACCTGCCGACGCCACTGGCGTCTTAATGGGGGTCATCTTGTCCCTTGCAGGTGCACGCGCCGCTGCGGCCAATTATCTTCGTACCGCGCCCCGGACGTTAACCCGCTTCTTGACCTTTGTCTTGGAACCGCCGATCAAAAAAAGTAACCCCACCAGCCCATCCAGAAACGATTCCCGGAGGGATTGCCTCGATCAGGGAAGTGGACCGCACACAGAGAAAGGGTCTCCCAGTGGAGGCCTCTTGGAGCGTCGGGGGGGCCTCTTGGCGGTCCCGGGCGCCTCTTAGAGCGTCTTTGGTGCCTCGGAGAGCTTATTGGGCCTCTTGGGGGTCTCTTGGGGGCCTGTTGGGAGCCTCTGGGGCGCCTGTTGGGGCCTCCTGGGGCCTCCTGGGCGCCTCTTGGGGCCTTTTTGAAGCGCTCTTGTGAGCCTTGGGAGCGCTCTTGGAGCCCTCTTGGGCCATCTTGGAGTCATCTTGAAGCTTCGGATGGCCATCGGAAGCGAAAAGGCGAGAAAGCCCAAAATATTGTTTTTTTCCTAGGTTTTGGAAGGGTTTTAGCCTCTTCGGGGCCTCCTGGGGGAGCTCTTTGGCCACTTGGGGCCGTCCTGAAGCGGTCTTGGGGCCTCTTGGAGCATCGTGGGAGCCATCTTGAGGCATGTTGGGGTATCTTGAGCCATCTTGGAGGTCATCTTGGGCTCTCCCAGGCGCTTTTGGAGTCATCTGAAGCAGTGCCCGCCCCCCCCCCAGGAGGCCCACATGTGGCCAAAACCTCAGAGTAAAATCGATGAGTTTGGCCTTTTCGCCGAGGCCTCTTGGAGCGTCTTGGGTGCCTCTGGGGGGCATCTTGGGGCCTCTTGGGGGTCTCTTGGGAGCCTCTGGGGCCATCTTGGGGCCATCTCGGGGCCTCTTGGGGCCTCCTGGGCGCCTCTTGGGGACATCTTGGAGGAGATCGATCACAGGAGGGGGGGGGGGCGGCGAAATTAGCCTCGTCCCCATCAGGAGGCCAAAATGAGGCCAAAACCTTGGTAAACTTATCCCAGTGCGACCCTACCTAGGAGTTGGAGCCTCTAGGAAAGCAACATTCGTAGGAGCGGTAAACGCCGTCCTCCTCCTTCTCCTCATCGTCGTAGTTGTAGCAGTAGCGTAGTAGTAGTAGTAGTAGTAGTAGTAGTAGTAGTAGTAGTAGTAGTAGTAGTAGTAGTAGTAGTAGTAGTAGTAGTAGTAGTAGTAGTAGTAGTAGTAGTAGTAGTAGTAGTAGTAGTAGTAGTAGTAGTAGTAGTAGTAGTAGTAGTAGTAGTAGTAGTAGTAGTAGTAGTAGTAGTAGTAGTAGTAGTAGTAGTAGTAGTAGTAGTAGTAGTAGTAGTAGTGCCAGAACCGCCGACGCCACGCCGTAAGTGAAGCAGCAGCAGAAGCAGGCAGCAAGTCGCCGAGACAGCAGCAAAAGCAAGCAGGCACGGAGATGAGGGCGGGGCACTGGGGAGTTCTTTACATCTACATCTATATCTACACCTACATCTACATCGACACCTACATCGACACCTACACCTATATCTACACCTACACCTAAGTACATATATATATATATATATATATATATATATATATAGCAGCAGCAATAGTGGATGCTGTGCTGCGCTATGCTATGCTATGCTATGCTATGCTATGTTCTGCTCGGCTCTGCTATGCTATGCTATGCTGCGCAATGCTATGCTGGGCTAGGCTAGGCTATGCTATGCTATGCTGCGCTATGCTATGCTGCGCTATGCTATGCTATGTTATGCTATGCTTTTGCTTCGCCTTCGCTTTTGCCTTCACTTTGGCCTTTGCTTTTGCTTTTGCTTGGCACCCAGGGAGCGCAACTGGGGGAACCGCGCATTTGCTTTTACCTTTGCTGTTGCTTTTGCTTGGCTCCCAGTGGGCTGGGGAACCGCCCGGGGCGGTTTGCACTGCCCGGCCCCTTTAAGCCAAGCGAGTAAGAACCTTTCTAGGCAGAGCTTAGGTAGGGAACAAGTGATTTTGGCTTCCTCGCCAAGTCCGTTTTGGGCGCTCCAACGCGTCGCGGAACCCCCCGTCCAGGTCCAGGGGCAGGGGTAGGGGGAGGGGTCAAGACTCCCTCCCCGCCCGCAAACCGTCTCGCTCCTTCCCACCCGCCCTCCCAACACATACGTAGCACCCGAGTCTGGCCCGAGCCTCAGCATATTCAGCAGTCGTCTTTGGATGGGACGACGACGGTAGGATCACCGTGATCACGCCCTCCCCCCTCCTCTCTTGTCTCTCCTTCTTTATCTCCTTCCTGCCTTCTGCGTCCTTTTGGACGGATGCTGGCATGCATCGTATGCTTCGCTTTCAGGCCTTCAGCTCAGCGTCGAGTGAGCGGCCGCCAAGCCCACGCTGCAGCTAGACAGGCGACTCTCTCCTGCGCTTTCCCTTTCTCATTCTCCTCCTGGAGAACGCGAGCCAAGAGAGGGAAAAGGAGGAGGATAATGATTATGAGGATGAACAGGAAGAGGAAGAGGAAGATGATGATGCTGATGCTGATGCTGATGATGCTGATGATGCTGATGCTGATGCTGGTGCTGATGATGATGCTGATAATAATGATGATGATGATGATGATGATGATGATGATGATGATGATGATGGTGATGATGATGATGATGATGCTGATGATGACGGTGATGATGATGCTGCTGCTGATGATGAGGATGCTGATGCTGATGCTGACGCTGATGCTGATGCTGATGCTGATGCTGATGCTGCTGCCGATGATGATGGTGGTGATGATGATGATGACGATGACGATGATGATGATGATGATGTTGATGATGCTGATGATGCTGATGATGATGATGCTGATGCTGCTGATGATGATGACGATGATATGCTGATGCTGCTGCTGCTGATGATGATGACGATGATGATGATGCTGATGATGCTGATGATGATGATGATGCTGCTGATGCTGATGCTGATGACGATGACGATGATGATGATGATGATGATGATGATGATGATGAAGATCATGATGATGATGATGATGATGATGATGATGATGATGACGATGACGATGACGATGGTGATGATGATGATGATGATGATGATGATGACTGATGATGATGATGATGATGATGATGATGATGCTGATGATGATGATGCCTGATGATGATGATGATGATGATGATGATGCTGATGATGATGATGAGGATGATGATGATGATGATGATGCTGATGATGATGATGATGATGCATGATGATGATGATGCTGATGATGAGCTGATGATGCGATGGCTGATGATGATGATGATGATGTGATGATGATGATGATGATGATGATGATGATGATGATGATGATGATGATGATGATGATGATGATGATGATGATGATGTGATGGATGACGACGCGACGACGGACGACGACGACGACGAGATGATGATGATGAGGAGAGGGAGGAGGAGGAGGAGGAGGCGGAGGAGGAGGAGGAGGAGGAGAGGAGGAGGGAGGAGTAGGAGGAGGAGATGAGGAGGAGGAGGAAAATGAGATGACAATGAGGAGGAGGAGGAGGGAGGAGGAGGAGGAGGAGGAGGAGGAGGGGAGGAGGAGTAGGAGTAGGAGTAGGAGTAGGAGTAGGAGGAGGATGAGGAGGAGGAGGGAGGTGGAGGAGGAGGAGGAAGGAGGAGGAAGAGGAGAGAAGGAGGAGGACGGAAGAGGACGGAAGAGGACGGAAGAGGACGGAAGAGAGAGGGAAAGAGGATGACATGAGGAGGGGAGGCGGAGGAGCAGGAGGAGGAGGGGCGGAGGAGGAGGAGGAGGAGGAGGAGGAGGAGGAGGAGGAGGAGGGGAGGGGAGGAGGAGCAGGAGGAGGAGGCGGAGGAGGAGGAGCGGAGGAGGAGGAGGAGGAGCAGGAGGAGGGAGGAGGAGGAGGAGGAGGAGGAGAGGAGGAGGAGGAGGAGGAGGAGGAGGGGGGGAGGGGGAGGAGGAGCAGGAGTGGGAGGAGGAGCAGGAGGAGGAGGAGGAGGAGGAGGAGGAGGAGGAGGAGGAGGAGGAGGAATAACCTGGTTCTCTGGAGTCCTTCGGGTTTCTGGAGGCTCCTGGGGGGGTTTTGTGTCTTTCTCCTCAGCAGCCTCCTTACCTTTTCCGCCTCGTCCTTCTACTCCACTTGCTCCGCCTCTTCCTCCCCTTCCCTCCCGCTCCCCTCCCCCTCCCCTTCCATCTTGTCCTCCCCGTCCCCGTCTCCATCTCTTTCTCCTTCTCCTCCTCCTTCTCCGTCCTTCTCCTCCTCACCCTCCGCCTCCCCCACCTCCTCCTGTTCCTCCTCCTTCTCCTCCTGCTCGTCCTCCTCGTCCTCCTCGCTTGTCTTCCTCCTCCTTCTCCTCCTTCCTGCCCCTCCCCCTCCGCCTTCTTCTCTTCCTCTTCCGCATTCTCCTCCAACTCCCTCCTGCTTTCCTGTCCTTCTTCCCCTCCAGGCTCTGGCGTGCTTGTGTGCGAACGCCGCGCGATGGCCTCGATCGAAATGCTGTTGCGGCCAGCCCGCTGCGCACTGGTGGGCGCGCGGGCCCAGACGCCCCCCCCCCCCTTATACAAATTCTGAGCGGGCGTGTGCCTCGGGGCCTCCCCTGCGGCGGGCACCGTCCGAGGCCGCCGCTTCTGCAGAGTGCGCGGGGGAGGAGGAGGATCGAGGAGGGGGAGGAGGAGGAGGAGGAGGAGGAGGAGGAGGAGGAGGAGGAGGAGGAGGGGGAGGAGGAGGAGGCCTGCGCCTGGGCCATCCGCCCTTCAAGTTCTGCCTGAGCTTAAGGAAGAAAAAGCGCACAGAAACTTGAACTTTCGGCGCTCCGCGCGGATTTCTCGGATCCGCGCTGGGGCCCCCCTGGCGGCGCCTCCGGCGCCGTCCCTGGCGCGCTCCGCGCGCCAGGGAGGGGAGCCCAGCGCAAATCCAAGAAATCCGTGCCGACCGCCAAACGTTTATGTTTTTGTGCTTTTCTCTTCCTCTATTGGCAGGGCGAGCGAATGCCGTCTGCTTTGGCTGGTTCCGCCCGGGGGCCTTCAGAGCTTGCTGCTCGGGGCCTGGCCTGGCCCGTCCTGGCCCTTGCCGACGGCGCCCCCCCGCCTGGCCGGCTTCCTCGAGGGGGCACAGCCTGCAGGCCTGGCGCGGCTTGGGGCCAGTCTCGCTCGGGCGCTCCTCGCAGCTGGTCTGGCCTGCCACTGCTGGGGGGCGGTCTCGCTCGGGGGTTCCTCGGGGCCTGGCCGGTTTGCCTCCGTTGGGGTCCGAGTCCGATTTTGGGGGGCCTCGCGTGCCGTGGTGTTGGGCGGCCCTCGCGGTTTGCCCAGCATATCCAAAAATAGTAAAAAATAGTCCAGAGACTATTTTTTGACCATTTTGGAGTATTTTTTTTTTGAGTATTTTTTAGTTTTCGTCGAGACTCCCCCTGTAGGGGGACACGCCCGACTTGAGGCTTGGAGCGGGTTTTGCTTGGGACGTCCGCGCCAGTGTCCAAGCCGGGGGCCTGGCCTGCCCAGGCTCGGGCCGCCTGGCGTCGCCCACGACGTGAGCAGCCTGTCGAAGCTCACGCAATGGCGAACGTGTGCGGCAAGGCACCTCGAGCCACAATGAGCATGATAAGTAGGGGATCGAAAAGTGGCATAAGCGTAAAAACTCGGAGGTCCGCGCGGATTTCTCGGATCGGCGCTGGCCCCCCCTCGCTGGCGCGCGGAGCGCGCCAGGGGCGGCGCCTCTGATCCTGGTGCGTGAAAGCACGGGGTGCTGCTGGTGATGCGTATTTGTTCGTCCTCCTTCCTCGGCCGCTCATCAACACCCTGCCCTCAAGCCTGCAGTCCGTACCATTGAGTGTAACACTCACGCCCGCGCTGGGCGGTGACACTCAGAGTCCGTTGCGTGCTTTTGCCGCGTAGCGCATGACATACCCCATCCTTCACGCACGTGATGGGCGTCGATACTCCAAACATCATTCTGGACATATTGAGTTCCACCGCAGAGTTGTATCTGGACGCTCTCGGTGGCGGTGGATCGTTTAAGCGCATCGTGTTCCGCCGCAGCATCAGATCGGTCAACCCCGATCACATGGTGTCGGCTGCACGCTGGCGTGGGCGATGACGTTTGCGTTTGAGAACCATAGCCTGTGACTGCAGGTTCTGTAATCGGTTTGTCTTCCGGCCGCAGGCGAGGACATTCAATGAACGAGGGGTCTTCAACGCCGAGCCGAAGCAGGCAGGGGCAGATGCCGAGAGGATACCCAGAGGAGGCGCGAAGCGGGCCTCAGCTCGTCCGCCTTTTGGTCCGTGCGGTCCGACCCCCGTAGCCCGTCCCTGTCGTCGAGCCAGAGCGTCCGCGGGACTTGGACGGGGCATACCTGTGCCTTCTGCCACTGGCCCTGGCAGCGAAGCTGTCGACGCGGAGGAGGAGGAGGAGGAGGAGGAGGAGGAGGAGGAGGAGGAGGGGAGGAGGAGGAGAGGAGGAGGAGGAGGAGGAGGAGGAGGAGGAGGAGGAGGAGGAGGAGGCGGAGGAGGAGGAGGAGGAGGAGGAGGAGGAGGAGGAGGAGGAGGAGGAGTGTGCACCTCGCCAGTGTCCCTGCACCGACTTCGCGATGCCCAGGTTCCTCCACGGCCCGCCCGCGCTCGTCGCGCAAGACCAGGGGCGAGAGGGCCCGCCGTACCAGCAGGAGGGCGGGCGCGTCGATGCAGATCGCCGGTGCCCTCGCGCGTGGTCGCCGGTGCAGGGCACCGATCCACCGACCACCGATGCCCTGGCGCTGGCCGTTGCCGCTGCTCGCGCCCGTGCGCGGCGGGCCAGCAGGAGCACGTGCAGGAGCGCGCTCGGAGGCAGGAGCGCGCGCCGGAGCGCGCCCTGGGAGGCAGGAGCACCCATCGGAGGCCGACCGCACGAGCTCGGCCTGGCGACGGCCAGGGCGACGTGGCCCTCGGATCCCCCCAACGCCCCACAGGGCCGTCGCTGGGGCACCGCCCCGGCAGGGGAGGGGGCGGCAGCGCCCCCGCGCCCCCTCGGAGTTCTCACCGAGCGGGGTGTTTTGCTGCGGTCAGGGGCTTTGGGACAGCGCGTCGCTGCGCCGGTTCTGGCCGACCACGCTTCCGCACGGCACGCTGTTCGCCTGCCAGTTCTCAGGCGTCCAGGTCCCGAGCTTTTCCGAGCCTCCCGCCGAGCGGAGCGACGCGCTGTCTGCTCGCAAGGCACAGCGTGTCGCCGGGGCCGCCGTGGCGACACGCTATCCAGAAGTCCCTGACCAATGCGAGATTTTTGACTCGGTGGGTTCGTCTGCGTGAGTTGTGCAGGCCGCGGTTCGAACTCCCGCTCCCGAGAAGTCCACGCCCTCATGGAACTCTCTCGGGAGGGGAAAGTAACACGTAGACACAAAGAATCGTCGCTTCCGAGGAACCCGAGAAAACACATAGGAAGTGGACTGGGGACGACTGGCAT